AACCTGATCGAGATTGATTCATGGATTAGTTATTCCGGGAAAGAACATTATTCCCGTAAGTGTAGTGCGCGTTTTTATCGCGCGGTGTGGCGGTAACCTTTCAACGCCTGAGGGCAATCCGTTGCCGACCTACCAGCCGGCCTGCGAGTTTTCTCTAGCCACGTATCTCCCACCAGCGGGGTAACGCCTCAGCCGAGACAAGCTCTTAAACTCCCGATCGGTGTCCCGGGATGTGTGGTAGTATGTCTCTCGGAATGTGTGTAATGCATGTAAGTCTATGTGAAAGGGATGATAGAACAAGGAAGAGGATGGAAAGATCGCGTGCGGTCTGTAGCCCGTTTGTTAGGGTACTGCTCCGGCATTCGCCAAGGTAGAATCTTGCCATCGTGAACAGATGAACCGTAGGACATCCCGGTCAGGCATTGCAGTGTCCTCAAATGACGTCTGAGCCCTTTTGTTCAGAAGAGAAAATTTTTTTTAAAAAAGTCAATTGTGTAAGATACTTTGAATTAAATGTATGACAAATTAGATAGTATCCGTCGGCATGTGAAAGGGTATGAAAGATCTAAGAGTTTGGTTTGCCCGTCCACACGGGATAACGCCAACTCATATTGAGCTATTATTCCTAGCGCATCAGGTCTGCTCACATCTGCACGTAACCTAACCTTGTAACTTGCGCTGGCGTGTGGCAATGTCGGCGATTTATGAATCGTTCATCTAGTTGAATGATTCGTTTGTAGATGGGAGTTCACGAGAGGAAGCCTGCCATGAGCTTTAGAGCTTCATTAAAAAAACACGATTTCTTCTGGCCGCGCGAGCGCTGTGAGATATAGACGATTATAACTTGAGAGCAGCAAAAGCGGGCACTTCTTCCTTAGACCGATATAAATAGATTTCGTGTCGCTTAAAAGCGTGCGATGTTTATAACTCGATCAAAGTAAGGTACATACATCATAGCTATCAACTAAAAAATATACATTTCCCTTCCAATATGAAAATAAATATTTTATTTGGCAATAATATTCAGAAGAAGAAAATATATAAGAAGGAGCTTCCGCTATTTTCTTCCACAGGAAACCGTCACCGGCATCTCGTCTTCTTGACCTAATACCTCAATTTTCCTACGTCCACGAGCATTTTAAAAAACAAAATACCATTCCAGTCAAATCCTTATTTATAACATATATTATTCAATTTAATGTTTTTATTCGTTTTGTTATTACTTTTGATTCATTATTGAATATCAATTGATTGAAAATTAAGAAAAAGTGGCTGTTATTATACATTTTAATACATTTTAATTTTCTTAAATTTAGACATAGTTTTAAAATAAATATGTATTGTGAAAATCAATGAACATTACATTTTAAAGAACAAACCAAGAACGGAGAATTCATTAACGTTGCATTTCCAAAAAAGGAAGTTTTTAAAGACGTGCTTTCCGCAGTTGTGGATTTTATATGATTTACACAAAATTTTACTATTTTTTGACGATATAAATTGAAATCTGAAAGTGAGAGGTTAAAACAATATGAAAAGGGATTTTCACGGATACTAAACAAATGCAAAACAATGCAGTATTTGATTGGCTCAAATAATGCAAAAACAATTGCGGGTATTGAAACGAGATTATCAAAAGTTGTCACACGATTCCCCCTTTCCAGTTTTACCTTTGCCTTCCCATTCCTTTTGCATCCACCTACCTTATCTGGGCTGATTGAATACTAGTGATTCCGGGCGCGTCAACCACTAAGATCATTAGTCCCGTAAATGTAGTTCATGTTTTTTTCTCGAACTGTGGCGGTGACCTTGCGCTGCTGGATGGCGAGATCCGGCGCCGACCTACCGTCGGCTAGCCAGAATTTCCCCAACGCGATATCCTTCACCAGCGGGGCACCGCCCCAGCCGGGACAAGCTCTAAGATTCCCAGCATGTGTGGTAGTGTAGTGCATGTGAATATAAGTGTATGTAAGGCGTGGGATAAGACAAGAACCGGGAAGGAAAGATGGTCCGTGGCCCTTTTGTTAGGGTAACCGCTTCCGGCATTTGCCTGGTGCTGACCGGAGAAACGCGGAAAAACTACCGCTGGCCGCAACAATCTTCTCCCAGCCACGCTGAGTTTCGGACCTAGTGAGCAGTCTAGTGTCGAAAAGCCTACCACCAACGGGGACGCGAACTCCCGGACCTCCAGGTTGGGAGGCACCGCAGTGACATTAAGCTGAAGCTGTGGGCGTCGTAGGATACATTTGGCGTCGTCCTAGATGTCGCTTATATCGCATTAAAATAGCAATAATAATAATATAATAATAATAATAATAAAATAAATCAAATAATAACAATAA